TGGCCTTTTAAGGAACAAACAGATCAATGTGGCCAGAGCACAGTGTGAGCAAGGCAAAAAAGCAGCATTGAATGGGTTAGGAAACAATGCAGGGGTGGGACTTCATTCAAAATGCAAATAGGAAAAGCATTAATAGGCTTTAAGAAAGGACTCATCATCCTGACCCAGTTTGTCATGACAGAAGACAGATTTGATCGCTCCTTGTACCCCGTTTCCTGGAAAATAAGACAAGGTCTTATATTTATTCTTCCTCAAGAAGACACCCTAGGGCTTATTTTCAGAGGATGTGTTATTTTTTTTAAGTACGGTACAACCATCTACATTTATTCAAATATAGTTAGGTCGTCTTCTTCTGGAACATCATCATCACTCTCCAAACCCCGAATTCCATCCTGAATTTCCTGCGACTCTATTTCCTTTGGAACCATTGGCCCCGATCTCTCATGTGGAGCCACAGAGCTCTCACGGGGCAGATGAGAAGGGCTGCTCGTCTTCTTTACTGCTCCATGACGAAATGCATGGGTTGTGCAGACGTGCTGTGTAGCCATGCCCTTCACTAGGGCTTATTTTCGGGGTAGGGCTTCTGTGGTGCAAATGCTTAGAAATCCTGCTAGGGCTTATTTTATGGGTAGGTCTTATTTTTGGGGAAACACAGTAGGAAATATTGAAGGGAGCTGAGGTGGGACCTGGGAGACCAGTTGAAAGACTGTCTGAGCAGATATGGCCGGCTGGTCCTCAGTGGTAGGACTGGGGTGGAACACAGTTAAGCCAGACAGTGGAGACAGAATGCATGGGACTTTTTCTTGGCCCGGATATCGTTGTGACAGAAAAGGAGAAACAACAAATAAAAGCTGGGTTTCTGTGTGTATGCTGGTGCATGGGCAGAAGTGAATAAGATTGGGAGTTGGGCAGGTTTGAAGGAAAAATGGTCCAGGACTTCCCGTTCCACCGAGCTGCATATGAAGCCGTCGGGTGGATGGTTTGAAAATGCACTAGCAACAACGTGAGTCGAGAGACCTAAAAACACAGGTCTGACCAGAGACGTTAATGTTACGGTCACCACCATGAACGGGCTCACCCAGAGAGAGAGGGGTGGGCCGAGCAGTGTGCTTTTAATGTATTTTTGTAGAATTTAAAAGTCAGGTGGAGGATGAGAACCCAACACGGCAACTGCTGAGGAAAAGCCAAGGAGAGTCCGGGAGAATCTGTGGATGATGGTGTGTTGGAGGCTGAGGAAACACCTTGCTCCGAGGAGGAAAGGTGAACTGTGGCTGAGAAGGTCACGCACGATGAGGACCAAGAACTGAGCGGGGATATGAGATCTGACAACGTGGACATCCCTTGGCAAGGAGATTCACGAGCAATGTTTAGAACGCTTCCCTCAATAGTTCTCCCAGCTCTTAGGGTGAAGGTCAGGCTCTTGGAAGATGCAAGGCCTGGCCAGGTTTGGGGTCACCTCTCTCTCTCTCGCCTCATCATGCCCAGGTTCTGTTTCTCTGTACGCCAGACACACAGCCCTCTTCCCGTTCCCTGATCACACTCTTCCTTCCAATATATGGTTCTTTCTGCTGAAAATACTTTCCTTCTCCTCATCTTCGTTTAACTTCTGTTATTTTTTTTTTTTTTCCAGATCTGGTTTCATTGCTTTTTATTCCAGGCGAACTTTCCAACCTCAGTACTAGACCGAATATCCCGTGATATGCTTGAAGCAGAGTATCAGGTATTCACTTCCTGTGTGCTGAACTTGCCCTGATGATTAGATAATTAATTACTGTGTCTTCTATTGCAGTAGAAAAAAAGGGCAGGGAGCATGTTTGCTTTTGCTCACCGTTTTTCCCTCATGTCAGGCAAAAACGAATGTCTTATATCGGTAGCTTTCTCTGTTGAATGGATGAAGGAAGGAGGGGAGGAAGGAATAACATCTGCTTTTGTCCTCAACCTCATGTAATCGTTCCTGTGCTACATAACTTTTACTAAAAAAAAAATTCAAATGATTCATTTAAGTGAAATCTTACTTAAAGTAGAGAGTGCAGCTTTTAAAAATCCGCTCCAATTATTTTGAAACTTTCTTGCTCAAACTTTGAGGTTGTTTTGTATACCTACCGTTTTCAACCACTCAAGAAGCACCCCTACGTTTGCTATGTAGTGTAAAATCTCTTGCTACTTCCTGCCCTTTGCTGGTCTCGGCTGTTCTTAGCAAAATACCGGCTCACGAGCAGCCCGCCCACCTGCCGCACTCTCAGAATCAGGGAGAGTGGACCACATCAGTGCGTCACAGATACTCCTGTTCGCTCTGGGAGTTTCCTGCCGCTGCATGCCGAGAGCCCCGATACCAGGCCCATAGGTACAAAGTGGAAGAGATTTCCCAGACGCCTGAGCAGAGCCAGGTGCCGCGGAGTCCTGCCTGGGTGTCCGGTTCAGCGTCGCCCACTGTCCGAGGAAAGCTGTGCTCTGCTCTGGACAAGCTGTTGGTGCCGCCCCCTGACAGCCTCGTCTCAGGGATGCGCCACCTTCTGGGTTGCCATGGCTTCCACCTCTGGCCATCAGAATGCACCTCTTGGCCGGGCGCGGTGGCTCACGCCTGTAATCCTATCACTCTGGGAGGCCGAGGCGGGAGGATGGCTCAAGGTCAGGAGTTAGAAACCAGCCTGAGCAAGAGTGAGGCCTTGTCTCTATTAAAAATAGAAAGAAATTAATTGCCAACTAAAAATATATAGAAAAATGAGCCGGGCATGGTGGCGCGTGCCTATAGTCCCAGCTACTCGGGAGTGAGGCAGGAGGATCACTTAAGCCCGGGAGTTGAGGTTGCTGTGAGCTAGGCTGATGCCACGACACCTCTACCCCAGGCAACAGAGTGAGAGTCTGTCTCAAAAAAAAAAAAAAAAATGCATCTCTGTTTTTCACTGAGTCTCCACACTTCAGGCTCTATGTGTTTATGATTTTATCATAGACAACACAGATTTTCCGCTCAAAGTCTACTATTTCCTGTAAACGTCCAACTAAATTTTAACACATTAAAATAAAACACATTATCCAACTCACGTGTGCCCACCTGCCTGAAATGGAATTGAATCTCTTAACTTTCTTACCATTTTTTTTTCCAAGCCACCATCTACAAAGCTCCTTTTTAAATGTCTCTTTAAGGCTGCTAAACCTACATTCTTATCAAGCATGATTTTAGATGCTTTTCTCCCTTTGGAAAGATCTTATGCACTTTCCTCCGGGCTTCTAGTTTTACCAGATATTCTGCTGTAATAGGAAGCTAACAGAACACAAATGCTTGCTTAAAGATATTCAAAGCTAACTTCCAAAGAGTTTTCCATTGCAAATGTATTTTAAGATTACAGGCTAAGGTGCTCAGGCCTCCTTTTCATTAGGCCTACCTACATGAAAATTAGTGTTGACTTTTACAGCTAGCTTATTTAAAAATACATTTGCAAGAACAGAACATCGTTTTTTTTTTTTTTTTTGGTTTTTTTTTTTTTTTTACTAATTCAGTGGTCTATCTCCTAGAGATAAAACACTATCAGAATACATACACAGTAAAAAAGATTGGGGGAAAGGAGTGAGAGACATGAAGGACGATAGTGAGGTGAGTAAAGAAAGTGAGATGAAACTTGAACAGTTGAGTTCGAAACATAACTTGTGTACTTCCTGGCTGTGGAAACCTTAGAGAAATCACCCAGCCATTCTGAACATCACAGATCGAACAGGGATCTAGCTCAAGGGTATTGCACAAATTAGACAATGTATATATACAAACTGCTAAGCATAGCTCCTGCACATACTAAGAAGTCTGTAAGTTAGCTATAATGAATAATAATCACAATAAAATCATAATTATAATCTTATTAAAATGTTATTACCCAAAGTTTAAGCTTCGGGGTTATTTCAATTTTCACAAAGTGGGATGCAGATTTGACTCTGTAGTTCATAGCAACCAATAGAAGAGTGAAATAGGTAAGTTTGTAAATATCAGAAGATTGATTTACTTAACTACAGGAACCCTACAATAATGCTTGCTAACCAGGGACCGCAGGGTTACTGCAAGGGCTATGTCTCTCGAGAAGTCCCCAGAGCATTAGCTATAGTTCAAATAAATAGTGAGTGCTACACTGTGTGCACTTTTATTTTTAAAGGCATGCAGATATTGTGATAATGGCACGAATTCGCTTAATTTATTGGCACATTTATACTTGCTTTTTGCCAGTAAGCATTTTCCTAATGGATGGACTTAACTAAGAGCACCATCAGAATTATGAAGAGCACTTGTTGTCTTATTTATCAAAAATGTTGAGAAAGTACTACTGAGAAAAAGAAGAAAAGCCGAGCTTTTGTGAAAGACAACTCTTGGTGTTTCATTGTTCTCCTTTCCCTCATCAACAGCACCAAGGAATGCCTGAAGTCACAGAAGCATTAATTTTTTTTTGAAGCAGGATTTGCTGTAACTGCAGTGGAAATGACATTCTGATTCCATGCCTAGCCTCATAAAGATATCTGTGAAAGATTTGGGGCCAAACTGTTAAGCTCTCTGAGAGTGCTTTTTGGCTAGGAAATGGGTTTTACTGCTAAAATTGTCATATTGCTGCTGGGTTTTGAATGCCCTAATGATGAATGATACAGGTTGCCAGAAATAACCAGATAGGTAGTTTGTTCACTTGGCCATCTTAATAAATAAAATACAGATATTTTCTACTAATTCAGTTGCTGCATCATCTTGCCAGACTTTGTTTTGTTATACCCATGCTGAATCTGTTTTATAATCTTTTAGGTAAGAAAGTTATTAATTGTTTTGGGGGAGGGATCCAGTGTCTTGTTTTAAAGTTGTAATGTAGCTGGATAGTTTAAAAAACACCTTTCTTGAGGGGAGAATCTTCTAAAAGGCTTACTAACTTGGTATAAAAGCACTTGAATTAAGGAAGTAAGATGCCATTGCTCTGAGTTTGAACAGCTTTTTTGACTTCCTGCAAAGAGGACCCTTTACAGTATTTTTGGAGAAGTTAGTAAAACCGAACCTGACATCACCACTTAGCAGTTCATGCAGCTAACAAGTGGTTTGTTCTTAGGGCAACAGAGGAGGAAATTGCTCCTGGTCCGATAAGACAACAGTGAAGAGTAGGCATTTATTCTTTCTTATTTTTGATTCTGTTTTACAGAGGAAAACTTTTGCAGAGCTAACCATTGTTTTGCCTTTCAGAAGGACGCATGGTGTTTCTTAAGGGCACGGCTAGTTTCCAGATATGACCATGTATTTGTGGCTTAAACTTCTGGCCTTTGGCTTTGCCTTCCTGGACACAGAAATGTTTGTTGCAGGTAAGTACAAGGATATTTCATATTTACTTTCATATTTTGTTCTCTTTTGGAAGGAAGATTGGTTTGAAATAGAGACGTAAGAATACGCTAAATGTGTCGGTGAGTGGAAGTGAGAAGCCGGCTGGGAGGTGGTCAAGGTTGTTGGTGGAGGCAGACACAGCTAGTTATGAGACAGAATACATTGTTTCTGTTTTAAAAGGCATAGATGTTTGAGGGGAGGAGGGGGAGAAAAAAAATCAGAATTTAAAAGGAAAACATTGTCTAGCTGTATCTTTCCTTACAACTGTTCAAGGACACAAGAGCAACGTTGTTACTTAACCCCCAAAGTGACGTTGAATGCACATTTATAAAAATCTGAGGGATGTTTTAATGACAAAATAAGTGAGTTTTTATACCCTTTTAAGAAAAACCGTACTTTGTGAAAGTCGTAAGATGGCTCTGGCTGCATGTAAGCCTTACCATCTTTTCGCGCTACGCGTTTGCTTCCTCAAATTTTGAGTTAACTCTTAACATGTTTTGTTGAATATTTAGGTATATGATCATCCGAAAATATACTGAGGCATTTAATAAAATATTAACTTTCTACATGTTCTTATCACAGAATGTATTTTAGATCAAGCTCTAATTTCTCGCTAATAATGAGTTTTTACTTTGAAAATTTTTGCAGCGATCGCCCTTTCTGGGTGATGGGTAAAAATCATAGCCTGGATGAGACAGAAATATTTAAACTCTTACAAATCATGCAAATGCTGTGTTCTACAGGAAAATGTAACTAATTGGAGCTGGGGCACTTAGGTTTGAAATCTTTACGCATTTATGGTCTATTCAATGGCCAGTTCTTGAACAGTGTCTGCTTGGATCATGAGTACGTTTTGGTTGACTATTAAAATGAAACTACTAAATTGTCATTTAGTAGTCCTCTTTATGATGTAGTATCTAAAAGCTATTTTTATTATTAAAAGGACATTAAAAGTAAAATTTTTGCAGAAATTCCAAAACATAAACTGTTTTTTAAAATCTTGCTTATTGAAATTCACTTTGAAGTCTTTTATTGACTTTTTACCACTCTCCTTTCCTCTGAAAGGGAGGGCAGTAGTTACCTCCTAAGCATGTCACACTGTCAGTTTATAGTTTGGGTAACCTAGGATAGCGGAAAGAAAAACAGGATAAGATAGACTTTTTTTGTTGTGTTCATTCTGTTATTTTTCATTGCAAAGATGCATTTTAAAAATCTGTATAGGTGCAACATTTTGTTCTTAGTACAGAAAATGTGCTTCTATAGTTATCTCTATAAAGACTGTTATCATAATCAAAAATAAATGTAAAAAATAATTTTAATATGGTGACATGTGTATTGTTATAAATCAGCATATTTTCATTAAAGATTATTATTTGTATATGTTGAAAAGCATTTCTAAGTGAGCATAAAGAAATGTTGAAATATTTTGTAGGCCACAGATCAAACCACCGTAAAAATTTTAACTTGGTCTATTAAAGGATTTTTACCATAAGAAACATCTTTGAATTAATAATCTAAATAAGAGTACAGTAGGATCTAGAACCCATTAAATCAACTTTGCTGAATAATTTATACTACAAATAAATGGATAGATATACATAGATTTATTCTGAGAAAAATCAAGTTTATCTTCAATTGCTCACATAGCTCTTGAGAGCAAATATTTTTCTGAAAGACATTGACAGTCTTTCTGAAATACATATTTATTTGTGGAAAAACATGTAAAGCCACAATAATTTCTATCTGCAAATATTGTTTATCATGCTTTTAAGTTCCAAGAGGTATTTTGTGATTCAATATATAATTTGGAAAGTTCTTAATTCCTTACATATTTTTCTTTATTGGCAACAAACGAGTTGAATTTTATGTTTTATTTGAATGTATTGAGATTAATGTCTACAAGAAATATATATTTGGGGGCAGAAAAATTCATACTGTATGTTTTAAAGGCATAAAGAAACAGAGCCAAGTGTAGAGAGACATTGATAGATGACTATGCGCGCAATTCAGATATTTTACTAAATCTCTAAAATGCATGTGGGGGCAAGGCCACAGTTAAGTTTTGTCGGGGCAACAATGCTGGGTTCAGTTTTACACAAAAGTCCCTAATCTCCTTGCTCTGTTCCTCTTTGCCATGACAACTGGAAACCAAAACTTTCTTTAAAATTTCTAAATAATTCTAGAGGCAGTGATGGCTTTGAGAACGCAGGTAGGGAAGAGTGTTCTCTGAGTATGGCGGAGGTGTTGTGAGTTATCCCCCCACCCTAGGGCAGGCCTGTGTGAGTTATGTTATGAGTCACAGCAGCTCGGACTCATTTCCTGAACATAATTCTTTATTTTTCCATCTACATTAAAAAAAAAAAAAACCATATCACACGTTGCAAACATGTATCATGTCTTGCACATCACAGCTGTTCAGTGCAAAGTAGCAATTGAATTTGATAAGCAAGTCTAAGTCCTAAAGACAATGTAAAGATTCTGGGATGTGGGTATCATTATTTGATTTTGATAAAATATTCCCTACAGAGAAAAACCTTGCCTGCAACTCTTATCACGGCTAGATTTTGAAGTGCATTTTGTTAGAGGAAAGATGAGGTGAGGTAAGGGTCTGTATTTCCGTTTCCTCTCTTGCTCGACGTAACTAAGTACTAGGGCAGAGTGGTGAGCTTGAGCCAAGTTCTTTTTCTGTTCCGGGCCATTTGATCTCCTTTCACCAGTGACAACTAACTAGTATAGGAATGTAGATGTTTCTACCTTGTTCATATGCATATATAGATATATACATGCACATACTAGTTATATACATGTGAGTTATTATATATACTAGTTATTATCTATCTGTATCTATCAATCTGTCTTTCTATCTGTCTGCTGGTTCTCCATATTTGTTTACCTTTTAAATATTGGGGTTTTATGGGCTTCAGTCCTTGGCCAATTTTATTCTTATTTCTTCCACTCTGGATTTCTTATCAGTGCCTACTATGTGTCGATGACTCTTGATTCTTCATCTCTGGACTCATCCCTCAGAAGCATGGACCTGAACTCCTTTCCTAAATTCAAACATGTACATGCTCCCTCAGTCCTGAAATGTTTGTTTTCAGTGATCTTTAAAACCTTTTCCCCGACCTAAACTTCCGTTGTCATCATCTTAATTCATGGCTTTATTATTTTTCATCTGTAAAATTATAATAGTTTTCTAACTAGTCTGATAACATCTATCTATCTATCTATCTATCTATCTATCTATCTTCTGCAGTTTAAAAAAATAAAAGAGGGAAAATTCTGGTACCTTCTCATTGCCTTTGGTATAAATTATCACCTTCTTGCAAGAGCACATGGGACCCCCAGCAAGCTGGGAGCTGGCCCTGGGGTGGAGCAGGAATCTTTTTTTCTTTTTCTCTTACGTTTGATTAAAAGAGAACAAGCAGGAGGTAGTTGCAACACGCAGTTCCTCTATACTCTCTTGAGGCCTTTAAGGCTCTGGGCAAATCCTGTCTCTTCTCTGGCTTTCTCTTTTGTCACTCTTGCCCTAAAATTGTTCCACTGAAATTGGGACTTTTATAATAGTTTTATCACCTTTTATAATAGTTTTATCACCCACTTTTTATTACCTTTCCTTGGCAGTTTTCAAGTGCTATTTCAATTTGTTGTTTTTGTTGTTGATGATGATGATGATGTACAAATCAGTGGATTTACTGCCATAGTAACATGCATTACAGCAGAAACTATGCCTTATGCCTCTCTGTCTCTCCTGTTCCTGCTACCTTGCCAGGCACTGAATAGATAATGAAAATTTTAAAGTATAAAACCGCAGGTTATGCTGATGAAGGAGGAGAAAAATTTCAGAAAGGGAAGTCAAAAAGAGGGAGACTATGAGACAAAAAAGTTAGCCAGGGGCAAAAATGGAAGGATGAGGGTAGTAGGACAGTTTTGTCAAGATTAAATACACTAATTTTGGATCTAGATGTTTCCAGGCTTTGCCCTCTTTTGGGTTATTTTCTTCATTCATTTCCTTATCTAACCTCTTATGTGGAAGGACCCTCCTGACTGCTTAAAAATTCATAGTTTGAGAATGTTGTCTCTAAATTTTCCTTGATCAGCTCTTTGGGCATTTTTGGTAATGCCATTTAGGGGAGGGAGTCAGTCAGTTTTATTCTTCAAATACAGATGCTCGTAGGAAGAAAAGTAAGGAATGGGAAGGGAAAAAATATTCATCTAGCTGGGGGAACAGCACAAAAGAAATCAAGTCTCATCCTTGTAAGTGCTGGTTTGAGGACTAACATTAAGCGCTCTGGGATTGAATGCTGGGTCAGATGGAATCTGGTACACCCAGGCGTTGCATTGCATGCATGCAAATATTTTGAAAACCGAATACTTTGAAAGTTTTGTAGGGAGCTGGGAATCATTTATCACTAGATAGTGTGAAGATGAATTTCCATCTGAGTAGGTGAAGAGCAGAGATTTGTAGTTGGGTTGACTCATTTTGTTGGTAAACACACAGTGTTCATGAAGGCAAGGTCTTATGTCCAGACCATGCATGTGTAAGTCAGCTCAGTGCAGAGAAAGAGATTTTCATCGCCACAGACCTTTGATTTTTTCCAGTCATCTTATATGTTCATGAGATTATTTACACAGGAAAAAATTAGAATAGAAATCTAACTTATTTGAACTTAATTTTTGTTTAGTCTAAATATCTTTGTCAGTGCTAGGTACCCAACCCCATACCACTTGACTGTTACTAAAAAATTAGTGCTATGACTTCTGCATACAGAAAGATATTACTCTTCAGGGAATAGTATAGGGGAAAATAAAATATCACATGCTATTCATTTAGCAATATAATTTAAGATGTCTATTTCTATAGAATACCCAAATATGCAAAAATAAAGATTATAACAATCATTGGATTTTGTGTACATGGCCCTAACCACTATTTAGATTAGAACATGTCTAATTATTATTGCCTAACATCTTTACATTA